AGATGGGTATAAGAGACAGGTATAAGACAGGGAATACGAATGTCCATGTACTCATCAAAGTCAACATGCCTGTCTCTTATACACTATACAACTCTGGAATGTAACAATAATCTTCCAATTATCTTTCATTACAATGTTTACATATACATTTTAAAAAATAATTTTAGCTATTCATTTTTAATTACACCAAAAAGCAATGTTCAGCAGTTAAAAAATTGTGAATTTATTATTTAAATTTATTCACTCAACAATTTGCTTTTGTTCTTCCTGATGGTACAATAACAGTCTGCTCCTCTCTATAGTCTTCCAGGTAGACCAATCTTTTTTTTTAATACTATGTTCATAAAAATATAACTCTCTGTGTTTATAGCACCATCTCTATCCTTTCCTTCATAAACATCTTATCTTTCTGCAAAGAGAAAATCTTTTAAACAAATATTCTTCCCTTTTCAAAACTTTATCAAACCTTGTCAATGTTCCCCACAGTTAAAAGATTTTCATAAACATACACACGACAATATAGGTATTTCAACACTTTTAAATGTTCACAACATTGTCACAAAACCCTACCAACATTTTATTATGACATTCCTTTTCATTGAATAGGAATGCTATCCATGGAAGAATTCAATCTACATAATATAATAGTCTTGTTTTCACATTTCACAAGTTATAAATTCACTCTGTATGCACTAGATATTATGTGGGCATTATACCATACCATGAGAAAATTGTTCAGTTTGAATTTATCCCAATATAGACGAATGCATATTTTCTATTAAAACCAATTATTTATTATGTCACTGATTGCGATGGTTCCATACCAAGTTCTGATCCAGAGGTGGACAAGAAGCCATTCAATTAATAAAAGTAATCATGAACCCCATCAACATGTTTTTAAAATCTGTAATTCACTGTTATAATGTATCTTTTCTGAAATTAAAAATGTTTTAAAACAAATTTATACAACTTATCCCTTTTGAAGCACCATTTCTGACATCAAAAGTTCTGACAAAAGCAAGTATTAACAACAAGAAACATGTTGTGTTTCAGCTTTTCTTTTTTTTTCCATCGCTTCTGAGTTCTAGAACTCTGTTCTCCATGCAAGGCCTCTGCAGCCAAAAGTACAACACAACCAACAATCATTAGTTCTTCGAAATAGTTTAAAAGTTCACTGTCAGAAAGTTCATTCTTCCTTAAAGGCTTCTCCTCATGGTACTAATTTTTATCAACAGCTCCCTCTCTAGTTTATCTTCTGTTGCTCCCGCTTCCGTTATTCTCTTGTCTGCCTCCCTCTCTAGTTTTGTCTTAACATATTTTGTCTTGCAATTTCTATATAACATTTTCACACATCTTCCCCCAAAAATTTGTGATCAACGTTAACCGAGTTTGCATTGAAAATCTCACGGACAAAAATATCATGATAGTGCATGAGAAGTGTTGTGATGAAGACCGTGATAGCGCGAGGTGCTTCTAATGAGACCGTCTGACCCGGTGACCACACAAGATTTGGACCGAACACAACGGCAATGTTTGAAGCAGACATCTTGTTCTTATCACTGTGTTGGACAACCTGTAGGAGAAAAAAAATATTTTGTTTTTATAATTGATAGTTTATTTGTCTTTGTGTCAATTAGTGTTTTCCTTGTCAACTTGGTCTTAAGTGATAATGATTATTTAAACAAATCCACAATTTACATTCTAAATCAATTTACTGCAAGGAAGTTACAAAATTATAAAATATATTAAATGCATACATAAAATACAAAATATTATTACCCCTATGTGATATATAACCAGGTAATTGTGAAGATGATAATGATAAGTATGATAAGGGTGATGGTAATGTTGATGATAATGACAATGATAATGATCATGATAATCAAGATGATGATGATAGATTAGCCCAAAACAAAATAATACACACAAATAACTGTGGAGGTGATGATGGTGATAAATGTGATGAGATATAGCATTTAAAAAAAAAAAATTAAACATTAATTAGAAATATTATTATTTCTATCAACATTCAATCTCTATAAATTCTACTTTAATTAGTCATACCTCTAACAAAAGCTTCATTAGATAGTCAAGAACTAAGTAATTATCATCCGGAATCTTTTCGCTAATTAGATGTCGGCAGATCTCCACTCGAATATTCTCATCTGGAATATCTAAAGAGAGATATCATAAAAAATGTTGCTTATAATTTAATCCATAACACAGATGTGGATATTCACTCTTGCAAAATCTAGGTAAAGTTCAAATAAATTTGACTAAAATCGTATTCACTCAATGTTGTAGATACTTTTAAATAGAATGTCTGAAATGTCAGACAGATATGGTTGGTATCATTTGATTATCGGATGGATACGCTCATATACAGTACTGTACATAATTGAAATAAGTGCTTTCACTATGTTACTGAAAATCTAAAAACGCATCACTCAGTTTAAATTGACTTAATTTAATGCATATGTTTTCAAGACATTTAGTATCAGAGGACTGTGACCTGTTTCTGTTAATTGTAATTAGCATGGTATTCAAACCGCTTATGATTTATTTTTAGATTCCGCATCTTGTAAAGTTTCCATCGTAAATTACATTGATCTCATTAAAGTGCGTTCAATAAAGAAAATGCTCATTGAATTCGTTTCTCTAAATTAGTGAATTCAAAAAAACCCCAGATGCACCAGTAAGTTTTACAAATACAAAATTTGAAGTAATTGAAAGTACTTAAAGTAACTCAATTCGAAAATAATTATTGCATTCAAAACAAAAAAAATCCAATATACAACAGTATAATTATATACTATATAAAGAATCCAACTCACCATAAATTGAGAGAATATGTGGGTAAAGGTCATTGCTTAAGATCGGTTCAGGTAACTCCTTAAAGAACATCTTAAGTATAAGACAGGGAATACGAATGTCCATGTACTCATCAAAGTCAACATGCTCTCCAAGATCATACTGCTTCTGTATAACCTTCACCATTCGTGCATTTGGTGATCTGCGAAACACGCCCTCTACTGTTAGCCCTAAGAGGTAGAAGAAAAAAGTATTCATTCATCACAGAATGAGTCTCTTGGTACAAAACACAAATTGGGTTATTGGTATTAGACCACATCATAAGCTTATTTCAATTTTTTAATTAGGTTCATGGGTTGAGTAAAACAGGAGTATGACAAATTCGATACCTGAAACAATACATTGAATAAAACCTCCTCAACCAATGATAAATAACCCATAAATTGTCCATGCTGTACTTTCTTTGAAAGCTTGTGCCCTTAAGCTACATACTACATAATGATTTTATCTTAGTAATTCCGGTTTCCGCTTAAATGTACCACGCACAATACGCTGCCACTATAAAAATTCTTTTGTTCCTAACTTGATTCATCTACACAAAAATAATGTTAAAAGATAGATATTTTATTGTGTATATATTTTTACTTACTAATCTTGTATATAATCGTTTATTTATTACTGTATTGTATATGTTTTTATACCTTGTAATTTCTGATTTTTCGGACAATAAAATCACCTTGTATCTTGTATCTTAAAAACACTTTTAAGGTATGTAACTCATCTCAGAAGCTTTGCTTTTGTGAAAATATATGTATTTAAATATCAGAGACTACGAAACCCCATTTTGGTCGAAGTATAACCTTATGCATATTTCTTTGATATATCAAAATGAAATAAAGATGTACAACAAGGAACGTTCAAATTTTCTGAAGGTTTTTTAAAGCTTTTACTCCACAGAGCATACCTTTAATGATGACTTCAAGTGTTAAAATTTAAGTTAATAGAGTTTGTTAGTCAATACCTTACAATAATCTGCTTTACAAATATTTGTAATGCACCATTTTAAAAGGCACAGGAACTATACCTTGTGAGTAAGATATAGAAATTTAAATATTTTCCAGTGTAGATAGATATGCACATATCTCACGATGACGAGCGCACCTACCTCCCGTTATCTATAATTTGCACTGGCTTCCCATTAAACCATGAATAAATTATAAAATTCTTCTAATGTACTAACATTTGAAGCACTGCGACTCCACCAGCCCACTTACCTACTTGATTTCCTTTTTAAATATGTCTCCTTATCCTCCCTCCATTCTTCTAACCTAATAATTTGCTCATTGTTGCTAAAGTTAACACCAAATCCTGTGGCCACAGATTATTTTAATTTCAGCTGCCACTCTTTGGAACTACCTCCCTAAACATATTGACAACTCACCTTCATTTGCTATTTTAAGGCCAAGTTCAAATCACAACTTTTGAACATCTAAACATGCACAGCGCCTTCAATTTTTACCCTGCTTTAGTGATACTGGCACTTTATAAATGATTAATTATTATTACTAAATTATTATTATTATTATTATTATTATTATTATATAGATAAAAGTGAGAGGGTTTATAATTGACTATGATTTATGGTCTTTAAAAATATAATACATCATCTGTAAATATATTTAAAAACCTGAAATATCTAATGTAATTATAATATTTTATATGCTAATAAATCATTATCTGAACTGACCTGTTCGTAGTCATGAAAGTAAATTTATCTAATAAAATTCTCACCGTTTTCTCGGATGTAAGCGATCGTTTCCTTCATAACTCGCGGTATTGGATCACCATTATTATTATCCTTCAGACTGAAAATAAGAAGCCATTAATTCAAGTTAAAAGCTGGGAAGGACACTCAAATGGACTATTAGCATATCAATCTTCATCATCATCTTCTTCAGGACCACTGCTAACGTCACCACATCCATCTTCATCTCATACTGAGGTCAGAAGGTTTCACCAGTTCAATTATCACACCAAAAAAGATGAATTTATATATCTTAATTAGAGGCATATTTTTTATTTAATTCTATTATTATTATTATTATTATTATTATTAATATGAATTGTTATTATTATTTTTAATAAATAAGTAGTTAAGGATTATATGTTTGTGTACTGTATCCTGTAAACATAAAAATAACAGTTGTTTCCATTGAGTTGTTAACCCAGGTAAAATAAGAAATAAATTAAAAAAAAAAGCTATGGCTCCTACAACATTGTATGTCCATAAAACACTACAGCTAGAATATAAATAATTATGAGGTGATTTTTTTTCCCCGTATAACAAATTTAAACAAGAAGAGAAATGCAGCTTGGCAGTTTATGTAACATGAACACAATCTGTAGCATTAACAATACAGGATGTCATTTGCTGCATCATATCTGACGTTTAATTAACATTCTCATATTTTGATCACCGAACTATATTCTGCAACATTTTCTACTGCCTAAATGACCGTAACATTTTTTTATTACCGGAATGTTTCTTTTTAAAAATTAATTTTTCATACTTATAGTAATAATAATAATAATATTAATTAGCATTTATACTATATACAAATACTGATAGTTGTCTTTCATTTCATTTCATTTATTTATTTATTCAGACAAGTGCCTTGAGGCTTCAAAAGTCTGGAGTCCCAGTAAACTAAACTTAACTACATGCTTAGCTATGAAATAGAATTATAAGTTCAAAAATGTAAAACAGTGAAGGACAATGATAAATTCAACCATTCCATATATAATTGATGTTGGGTTGTTTTCTCATCGTTTTAATTGTTATTAATCATTTTTGTGTTTCTGTTTCCTATTTTATTTTTTAACCGATGTAAATTTTGATGCAATTCAGTCTGTGCTGCAAAATCAAAATGTTTGAATAATAAACTAGAATAAAAACAAAGAACGATAAAACATTCATGAGTCGAAAACAAATTTGTTTAACCTGTCTGAAGAAAACTGTGAGAAAACAAAGGACAGCAGAATCTTTGAAGGAAGAGAGGACCAGAGAATATGGAAGCGATGGATAGGTGAGAATTTGAGACAATTATCGTGAGTATAGAGATGTTTGAAGGTGAAAGAATCAGGGTAACGAGAATCTTAATTTGTTTATGTGTTTCATAAGCTGGGCACTCATTGCGAATGGCATGCCACAAAGATTGCAATGTGACAAGGCACGTGCAAACAATCTGCTCAGTGTGCCATCAGCAACCAGCAGATGACATCCCATCGTCAAGCACCCTGAGAGCAAAGATGGATTTGCCGTAGGTACTGTATACTCCCCAGGGAATGGAGAATCTGGCCCTTTATTTAACAGGTAATAACGTAGCAAGCGCATTGAGATTATACATAAATCAAAACATTATTTACATCAACGTCAATATCAGTAGCGATTTAATATATGTACTTTCTTAGCAACATTTTGCAACATCAATCAAACTTACAATTGTAATGAAACTCCAAACTGCTGTGTCGGAGGAATGTCATCTGGGTAACTTCCAGATGATCTGCTTTGCCAGGAGTTTGGTACTCTTGTTGTATCTGGTACAATCTTTCCTTGGTTCAGCATCTCTTTTCGGTCATACCTAGGTTTTACCAAAAAAAAATTGGGTTTGCTATTTGAGTTAAAATATGGCATTTTAGTTAAAAAACTATATACTATCAGTACTAAAAAGTGTTCTTTTTGTTGGGATTAAAAAGAATGATCACTTTGACAATCATAAATATGCAGTGGCGGATCCAGAAATTCAAATTAAAGGGGGCCTAGGGGAGGATTTTCACAGATGTTGTGTGTATTAATACCAGGTAAGAAAATTTCTGATTATGGTACCTCTAGATGGCTGGATATGGCACTCTCAGGCTTAAATTTGAATATAATTTTCTTCTTCTTTCTTCATTTTTATATAATTTTGACAAATTTAGGGGGACCAGGGCAGGATGGGCTCCCCTCCTTTGAATCCGCCACTGATATGGTACTACCTAATTGTCTTTGCTCACAGTGTTGAACGAATTCTTGCACTATGCTCCTTTATTACTACAAATTAATACCTCGCTACTGCTAAAATGAGCCATTTTATCCATTAGCTTTTAAGACCCAACGTACTGAAACATGCTCGAAAGATCTGGTTACTGGTACATAAATTTTGGAATTTCTCAAATGGAAGTACATCATTATGTATTAACCACACTTCACATGTTGGCCTTTCTCAGTTACGGTAAAGTGGCCTAGTGTTGTTTATAGATGCTTTTAAACATAAAGATTCGAAATCCAATCTAGGCCTATGCAATTTTTTCAAATATGTAGTATTTGCATACATACATATATATATATATATATATATATATATTGAACCTGTTAGTGGCGGTTTTCATCGCTGTTGGTTTTATACTGAATAAAATAAAATAAATAAAAATAAAATAAATAAATAAAAAAT